CGTCGCTATGATAGAAGACCATTCACATCCGCCTCATGGCATTGCTGCTAAGCAGATATAAGTGGCTTCGTATTGGGAAAGCACGCAATGCCAATCTACCACCAGGTCTTGTAACACTGTCGACAAATTTTGCAGAAATGGTTTAAACCCGAACGACTCAGCTATTGCAACAGGAAATTTCTAGTTGCGTTGTCGGGTAAGAAGACTGTGATGATTGACAAGACTTAAGTTAGTGATTGGACTGTACACATTCAGGACAACAAATCTTTGGTTATGGATTTTCAGTTCTGTTTTTGTATTCATTTGTTGCAGAGGTTTCTGGTAGGCTGGCCAAGGCTGCACAAACCCGCTAAGTATGTGTACCCAAATCACGTTGATCAGTGGTACTAGATCAGGTTGGAGGTGAGCTTGGGAAGACCATTACTATTTCAGTTTGTCTTGGTGGGTTCATTTGATTTCACAACCGCTGGCGAAGTGTTGTTCCTTGGTACTTCATATAGATGTCCACAGACCTGTCGGAAGTATTTAAAGACCAACAAGGAAACATGTGATATCATGTAGCGGGAATGTTAACTTACTATATTTTTCCAGCTGATAAAATGGTAAGTAGGCAGTAAAGAGAAGTCTTGTTCATACGATAATTAGCGACCAACCTACGAAGCAATGCACGTGTAGCTTATTTTAGAACTACGAGAAGGTTTGAGATGGCTGCATGTAGACAGACAGGAAGACGAGGATACAAACACTTTTAGAACGGTTGTAATTATATGGAAGCCAGTAAACCGAACAAATATAGGTACAATATTTTGGCTGGAATGAAGCTAGATGGTTTCAGGAAACCGGTGTCAATAGTATGGAGACATGTAAACTCAGTAAGTAGTCTTTTCAAGATAAAAGGCGAACGATGGCATCCAAACACAGAATTCATAGGTTGTGTACATGAAACAAATAATGATATAAAAGATTTCGCAAATCTACAAATACTGAGGCGTTTATATATTAATAATCCTGAAGCACACAAGAAGTATAAGCAAATTTCAGTATGGCGTAATCTAAGATGTTATGCCGTGCTGCATTTTTTACACTAAGGCAGGGTTCCGAATGTGTATTCTTGCAGATAAGCATATATACCGAACGAGAGGGCATGTAATGGCAGTGAGAAAGAGCGTCACCTGGGTTTGCAATAGCCAATGTTTGGTACGTTTGACGTAAACCGTGCTTTCACACGTCCACCTTCTTATATTGGTCATTAAATAGGAGACGATGTTTAGAAACTAGGAGCCAAAATCCGCATTCAAACAACAAGTAGTGCTGGAGTGAGTTGAACAAATGGTTCAGAAACTAAGCTTATGATGCGATTCAATTATGAACATAGTAATGAGAGGAAACAATCCAACTTGAGGAATAGTAGAGCAACGGTTAAAGCGTTTAACAAAAAGAAATAAATCGTGATCACTGGAATGCCATTAGGTACAGATAATACAGCTCAGATGATATTGCGCTAGGCAGAGGCCGTCGAATTGTATGTGGTTCATTTGCGAATCGCTTTAGGTTTCAAATGGAATCAGCGCATCTAGTTAGTAATCCAGCTATGCAGTTAAACAAGCAATAAATCACATGTTACTTGCTTGCATGCACCGCACGAGCACCACTTACATTAAGGGAGCGCTTCACTTTCTGCTGCGGACGCCAAGCGTGACTGGGTGCTTTAAATTTTCAAATAAATGCTTAGGCCTATTTTCTGGAGCTAAGATTGACTGCTGCTAAACTCCAGAGTACCTGCATTTATCCTGGTGACCAGATATAAGAGGATGCCTAATTTTGAGTTGACATGATAACAGCAGATTTAGGTGCGCTTTTACTGCACATACATCGCTTATTCCACTTGGGCTTGTGTACAGACGTGTAGAATTTAAAGGTCCATACGAACCAACACTCTGCATGCAAAGCTGAAATTCGTTCCTGATACTGGACGCCTTCAGACCAAATTAGAAGCAATCAAATACAACAAGTATGACGGTGAAGCTCAGCGAATGAGGTTTGATCTCAAGCGGCTGTGTGCGCAAATCAACTAGCAAGGCAAAAATAATAACTGTCTTTGAGTTCACTGCTTATACATTGCACCATAAAGGCGACGATATTCCAAGTAAAACGTTAATTTTTTCAGGTTTCAGTAAGGTAAAAGCACTATTTCTTTTGCACATGCAGGTAGTTGCCAGTAATGTGACCAAATCCAAGTTAAACGGCTCAAGTCTCTTGAGCAGCTTAAATGTCTACATAAGACAACATAATTCAGCTATTTGATTAGCTGATCAAAATTTGCCCGGGGAAAACAGTTATCAATTTTAATACCAGGCAATTATATACAAGAACAGAAGATTTCATGAAGGCATACAATCAGATGGCCATCAAAGAGAATTTTGTTGAAAGAGGCATAGCAACGCATAGGTCAGAAAATGCAGCTTGCGTAAAGGATTGGGTCTCATGTAGCCATTAAGTATCAGCACTCATATGAAATTTTTCCCCAAGCCATTATTTACAATAAGCTTTAAAAAATACCTAGACCCTTATTGCTTTACAAGCACAGCATTCAAATTCAATTTTCACCTAATTAAGTATAGCTTGGTTAGTTTTCATAGAATTCAAAGCCGCAACCTGAGCTCAGAGACAGATGTCAGACTGATATATGACGAAGTGCAGTTCGGATCGATCATCCCTGCTTGACTTTAAGGGACCCAATCATTATCTACATGAAACATCTACGAGGCCATTACGGATACCTCCATCTGGACACCCATTCCACCCGAATCATTAAATTATTCCATACCTCGCAGCCCTAAGACATTAAACGAATGCTGAATGCAAATAGGCAAAATGCATGCCACTTGCGTCGTCAAGATCCAACAGCTCCAGTGCATCGGTGGTCGACCGAGACGAATAAAACAACACTGGAAACGGAAACAACATGGCAAAACATGCCTGCGAATAACCGTGATTACAATCAGCCATACGAAAGCACCACCAATGGCATATTACCCGTCGGCAGTGTTTTGGTATTTAGCATACTTTCTCCAGGCAGTGGTTCTCTCCGCGAAACGCCCTTAAACTATGTTTATGAACACTGTAAATTGGCATACATGACTCAAAAATAATAGGTCACTGCTCTCGATAATTTACTCTAATATTGGTTGATACCATAATGCATAAGTTCATTGAAAGTTCTCACATACAACTAAAAATCGTTGATCATTAACGTGCCTCGATTATTACTACGTTGCTCTCCGCTGGTCCTTATAGTTCACTCATCTGATCCGCCCTGTCTACAAAACCGCATAGGACCAGTTCAGCAACAATACATCAGTCTTTTCATTAATTGTTGGCTTTACATCTCCGACACTGTGAAGCACTTTGCCTAAGCAAGTCGATTATGCATGCCGTGACGTGCCTTTATACGCTGGTGACTAGATTTCATCTAAATTAAGGTCAATTTTTCTCACATAACCGATGACATCGGTATAACTTATGCACGAGTATTTGTTCATTAGGCTATTATGTACAAAAATGTATTATACGTGACTATGCCCAAACTTGTGCGTTTTTATTTTTATTCCTTTTTTACCAGGCGGTCAAATGATGGCAAGCTTCAGTATATGGTGAAGCTCAGCCTTAGCATAGGCATTTTATTCGTGCATTAACCGTCGTGTTTGACTTGCAACGAACGCCAAATAGATGACTCTATCTGCCTAAAAAATTAGTCAGGCGACAGAAATAACTTCGAAAATTGCTAATCAAACTAAATGAAAGCGCTTTTATGAGGTATCGACACACGGAGTTTGATAACCTGATTGGCGAAACTGCTCCAGTGTTATGAAAGGATAACATGCTTTCACCGATTTCTTTCAGTTTTGTGAACTCCAGGGGGTAAAGCGCAAAGAATTTGACACCATTGGTGCAACGTTTCAAACCTGCGTTGAAAATGTCAAAGGAAATGTCGGATGATTGCGAGATATATGTTCAAAATTTTGTGACAATGCGTATGCATATCGTTGCTGTTAGCCGTCTGATGCATGATTTTCGGTGCGGCATTTAGTACTTTGTGTTATTTGTGCTAGAGGGTTTACCACGGCATTTGTGTGCAACCGAAATGAAAGGTAGGTTCCTGATTATTGGTGACAAATCTTTCGCCTAAACTGGTGGCCAGCTGCCAGGGGAACCGTTATAACTTTGCTTGCGTATTTCCTGCTGCTGGTATATCGCTTTAGTTTTCTGCAGCTGGAGTAAACATCCTAGCTGAACCATCACTGGGCAGTAATGGCAACAAAAATGACGCATTACATCCTACGAAAGAATACGTCTAAACCAGGAAACTGGTCTGTGGAGACAACCGCGAGGACGTCACATGTTTGAGGTTAACAACCCAAAAACATTAGGCTTAGAACACCTACCTTCACTACGCGGACAAAATTGCATCCAGCTCATGCTTTAATACTTACTATTAATTATTATGTGCACATATGTAGCTCAAATTTATCTATGGTGCTAACTAATATATAACTTTAACCGCACTGTGTCAATTCGGCACAGACATGGCTTGTTTCACTTGGAGTAGTTGCTCTCTAATGCTATGGTATATAAATTAATTATTAAGGCTCAGAAATTCCATTGTTTTATTCTTCCTACATTATTAATATCCGGATCTACCTTATCATTTTTCCGTATGTTCCGTTTATTTCGGACCTCGGTTACGAACAACCTCTCGCTAAAAGTTTATTATAAACAATTTTGCGTGATGGCTTGTGAATAGTCAGTAAAATTTCTTTTTCATTAACTTCATATTCATTCTGCCTATCTCATGCGCCTTTGTTTGTCGATCTAGTCAGCTGCATCTAGTCCTTTGCTTTTATCACCAAGAGCCATCCCAACACTGATAATCGGGGAACCACAATACATCCGCGACTATTGTATCACTATTGTCCGTAAGTGTAGACTTACCTATCACAATGCTTTCACACATTTTGCAGCAGAGATGCACGAAAAACCTATATTACAAGTATGTACCCTTTCAATGTAATCACGTTATTTACCGGTTTCTTCAACTGACGATATATAATAAAGCGCAAAGGTGTCAGCCAAATTCTTTGTGGCTTAACAGGTCAATTTAAAATAACCACTAGCAATATATTTTCCACATGGGATGCATACGTACTTTACAACAAAGCAACAACATCCGAGAATTGCTCCTGTTGCGCTTTCTCCGAAAGAAACCAACGGTTTTGCAATGGTATTAAACATTCAGAAAAATTGGTAGACGACAACTTAACTTATTTTTGTAAAATAGACATCGATTGCCGTCACCAGAAAGTAATTCGATGGTACTCTTTCTAAACCAGCGGCCACGAAATCACAGGAAGCAGAGCACACCACGCTGTGAACCATCGGTGTGTTGACGGGAACTCCGGTGTTCCAAGCGTTGGCTGCAGAGGAAGATTTGACCGAGCCAAGCGAGTTGTCAGCTTGGGAAGTAACAACAGAACCGGAAGTCATCCGTCTATCAGTCTCACCAGAGTGTGCTTGGAATAGTGGCAGGTAGCTACAGTCAATTTCAATATTGCACTCGTGAACAACAGACGAAGCAGGAAGCGAAATCTACTCATCAGAACTCACAATATCAGTCTCGTTCAGTGTATCATAACGTAAATCCGCATATTCACTGGTGCTGGCGTAAGAATCAAAGTCGCCAATAGAAGGATCTTGCATTTGGCTGTAAATAATATGGGACGGGTTTTCTACCACGCCGTTGCTCACAATTTCGGCCAATTCAAAGACTATGACACCTAGTCCAGAACCTTTTTTAATCCGTAACAATGAGACGGCAATCCAAGCCAATACTAACCAGTTGCCGACACTTGTTATGACGGAAAAGTCGCCGAGCAAATATTATCGTGCTTCTTCAACGTGCGAAGAATACTTCCCGAATTTGTATTGATGATTTTTACTGCTTCAGTATCGTCAGCAGCAGCTAAACATGCCACGTTTTCAAGGATATCAACGGAATTCAATTCACCTTCATTAACGTTCCATTGGGAAATTGGGTTAGGCAGTTGTCTCAAATCCCACAAGCAAATGGTTTGACCTTGCTCGCTGGATTGGGTCCTTTGGTTTGAGGGGATAAATTTAACCGCAGAGCAGGTTTCGGCAAGACAAGTGAATTTTAAAGGAAATGGTGATTGTTCCAAAGACCAGAAACATAGACTGCAGTCTTCGCCTCCAAATGCTAGCAATCGGTCTGACAAGCTAGGTGTGTAAACGGAACTGGTGTGACCACGGCCCAAAGTGACAGTAGCATCCGCCATTGGTGTAAATAGCAAGCTAAGGGGAACTTGTGCGATACTCATTTAATGAAAGACTTATAGTGAACAAAATATTTGATTGATACGTGATTTATTAAGTAATCCCAAGATTTGTCTCTGAATTCTGCAGTCACTTCAATTTATTTTACTTCCCGGCGTAACCAACTGTTCCAATGCAGATTAACACAAAGCGGAATATTGTTTGCAAGACAATGTCAGCGGGCAACGTCTTGAACGCTTGATTTTAGAAACCTTGGTAGACGACCGGTTATTGTATTTTGGTGGCAGATATGGTTTGCCGTCACCAGAAAAGAATTCGATGATACTCTTTTCTAAACCAGCGGCCACGAGATCACCGGAATCAGAGCACACCACGCTGTGAACTGTCGGTGGGTTGACAGGATCTCAGAAGCTCCAAGCGTCGGCTGCGGAGGAATAGGTGACCCGGACCAAGCTAGCCTAATGCGAGTCGTCACCTTGACAAGTAACAACAGAACCGGAAGTCATCCGCAGATCCGTCTCACCAGAGGGTGCTTCGAATTGTGGAAGCCAGCTTCAGTCACTTTCTGTATTGCACTCATGAGCTACAGACGAAGCACGAAGCAACAGCATAAGAGTGGTGCTTCACTTGCAATTTCTCCGGAAGAAACAAGCCTTTTGCAACGTTACTAAACTTTGTAACCAATACAATAGTGGAGCTCTTTCGTAGTTCCTTAAATAATCCTCCATAAATTATACAACAGTAATAGTTAAACGGATCATTATATGAATCAAGTTCTGCAAAGCTGTCTGATTAGTTGCATAAGTCCTCGCTTGATAACACAATTTCACATGAATTATATGCATATACGCTAACAATATGGAAAACTAAAATATAGGAATTTACGATATAAGAGTAGCAAACAGAGTGCATTTACTGTTCGTGCTACACTAGACTACTGTTTTCCTGCGGGGATATGAGAATAACGCCTTTTAAATGGAATGAAGCTACTACATCTACCAAATTGTTTCAAGCCTTCGAGCGTATGGTAAATTGCACACTGATATAAGAGCCAAATTAATATTGAATTTGCTTGCGAGGGAACTGCTGACCAGCCAAAATAAGAGTGAATACCATGTTCCAGAGAATCATTGCAGCGGAAGCGTTTACTAGTGTGGTTCTAAAATCCCCGGCATGACTTGTCGCCTCAGATCCTTAGCGCTCCACGGACGCCCATATATTATTGGGATAGGTTAACAACCGTTTCGTTAACGGTTTCCTTCAAAGTTACTCGCATGGCGTTCACAAGTGGTCTGTCTATATTCGGCAAAGTATAAGTGAATTAACGGCGTTGTTAGCTCATGAGCCTGGACTACCTCGTATAACTCATTTTGTGTTCGCTGATGTCTTGCGTGATATTTCAAGATTTATCCATGTAGAACATGCATGCATATAAATAAGCGAACGCCTGTACCAGCGGATTAAATACTCAGCCTGCAACCCGTAGCATTCCTTCGTATTGACCTGTAAATTTTCTCACGTCTGTATAAAAACCTGTGTAAAACAAGCAATACATGTATAGTACCCGAGGAACAAACAAAGCTATTTTTTCGCAACAATGTTCATCCAAGTTCCTTCTGAGCCTCTTGTATCTGACCAACAAGATAGATGTAAGCCCACAAGAACTTTGTTGCAATTCAATAAACAATCGAGAATAGACCTAATCATTTTGATCAAATACAGGAACTAGCAAACTACAAATGCCGTCCGCATCTGAAATAGAACATCTACGTCAAATTAAATGGCCAAACGCACACGGTATTCAAGCATGGATAACTCTTTTTTATATAATTGTGTAACAGCATAGCGTTATTTGTTATAGACAAAACTTGCTTTCGCTTCAAACCTACGACGCTTTGAATTTGGTTCACTTGTCATTTGACGGCTTGTTGATAAAATTTGTAACCTGCTTGCTCTGTGCCTGATGACTGAACATGCACCCACTGTCCAGTTTTAGGCTCAGGACCTAATGCATTAAAAATGCACAAGCTTGTTATTCTATTAGCCTTGCGATGCGCAGGGAACTTAAGGATTTTGGAATTGAAAGTCCGCACACGTTAGAATAGCGTAGTTGTTGACATGTTGTATGATGATGTCTTTGGTTTGCAGAGCTTATTCGTTAGATCGTGCAAGTCCTAATCAAATGCTTATTTACCAAAGCCTGTAAGGATTCTATACTGCTCCGTTCATGCTTAAATGATTTTTCATTACGGTAAAACATCTGTTTTATCGGAGGCGTTTGCATAGTATACTAGAATGGACATTTTTCCTCACTACTACAAACGTTTATAGCGCATACTTGAATTGCTGCTACACATGCACCGCTACATCCATGTATTCTCTCACGGATTTAATGTTCATTGCTCACTTGCAACCTTTGTATACGCCTCTAGACATATAGTAGTACCCTAAGCAAAATCATGCCAATCTTGACGTGTACTGCATTATCAGAGAATAACTACATTATTTCTTTAGTTTTTTTCACTTGGTAGTTATAGCGTATGGTAAAATAGAAAATATTATTATCAAATTCTGACCAAGGGCGGCGACCACACGGTGTTGACGCTGTCTTTTCGCTCACTAAGTAAAATCAACCTAAAGTCACAAATTATAGCCTATATCGGTCCCCAGTTCATGAACTGGTAAGACCTTAGTATCTTTTCTGAGCTTCAATCTGGGACGAGTTGTTCCGCTCAGACAATGTGTATATCGCGACTAGCGAGGTATTCATCAATTACATGAACTGCTTAGAAGTTTTGCACAATAAATAGGAAAACGTAATTAGGGGTTTGAATCCTAAGGTGGTCTCTACAATGGTAAGAAAATGCACGCTTTTTACGACAAATGAATATACATGCATCTACACGCTAGTAAAAAAAGTAATATCCGAATTGAGCAGTATGTCAGAGATTGCGCGCAAAACTACTAAGCACAAAGCGTTTTACACTGGCAACAAGAAAATGTCTCTTATTCAACTAATGAAGCAACAATCCGGCAGCGATTACATGCCGGTCCGCACCCTCATGCATGCTAAGAGAAGGACATTTACTGATGCGGTCGAGCTGTGCGTCCTTATAAATAGCCATTCGTGTGACACATTCAAAAGAAAGGACTTAGCGTTAATACATACAACTTCCAGGAGCAACGAATGCTATATAAATAACTGAGAGTATTAAACTTATTTCTCGGCTACGCGAGGCACGTCAATAAAGTCATAATCCTAGCAATAGTACAACAATTAATCAATAACTATGCTAGAGTATAGTGGTATTTTTAAATATTGGGGGCCATAAACTTGGGTATGTGCGTAGGTTTGATGCTTCTGTTCGTAGATTGATTGCTTTTCTGCTGAATATGTATGATCGTGTCGCGGTTGTTTGAATACATGTTTGACGAAAATAGATTTTAGGAGCTTGTCTCCGTAAGCATGCGCAGTGACTTTATTTAGCAACGAGTCACCACTGATAAGTCCAAGTGCTGTTAACCGGAACCTAGTGATTTATTATAGGGAGAACTCTTGCTTTTCCCAAACCTACAACCTCTTGGAACACTGCCGCCAAACTATTTGCTGGAACGCCTTAAATACGATACCCGCAGCTAGCAAAAGGAAAACGTTGTCGTTCTAGTAAGCGAATGACGGTGGCTTAAACAACAACACCAATCGAGGACTCTGCTAGCTGAGCTTGTCATAATATTTAGGTCGGTCGGCGTCCCTTCCTTAGCCAAAATTGAAGGCTCCGATATTCCAGTCCTCTAACCTAACGTTTTCACTCTCTATGAATCGCAGACAGTACCGATTCAAATGGAAGTCCGCATCCGTCGTACCATGACATAAAGGAGTATGCCGCCAAAGTGCTTGACTTTGATTGTCCTATTTGTCAAAAGCTCACTGCGCCTAGAGTCATGAAAATTGTAATCAACGCCTAGCTGCTTTGCCTTTTACAGAAACCTAACTTAATCAAAATGTGTCGACACAGGTTTCTGCTGGTTTAACTTTAACCTACGCGCCGTCTTCAATTCTTAAATTAGGTGTCAAACACCATATAAAATTTCAGATACTTGATTTTATTTACTTCGATACCTAAAGTGCATTCGACTTGGTTTCATGCAACGGCTTAATGAAACATTAGCTGCAACCGTGGTCTCCAGCCACCGTTCTTCCTAGTTTCGTCTTAGAATTTAAACCGAATGCTGTCAATGATACAGCGGTGTAACTCGATAAGAAAATCATCCGTAACCATCGGTGTATTTCAAGGTAGCGTATTGGTCCCCTGCTATTTGTATACCCTTGGTGCATCCCAGGTCTTAAAACACGGCGCCTCGTATCTTCTGCTAAGGAAGTAATATTTGACGTCTCATTTGCTTATGCCGTTTACGTCTTGTCCTCCCCAGCAAGCAAATTCATCTCGACGCGCTTAAAACATCGCATGACCTATGGAACCTAGAGTCCTCACCAAAGAAAATAAAATTTCTTTTCCTACCGGTGCTTTCTACTCGCATCATATCAATACTTAACGGTTAACCGCTAGATAACAGCTACCTCCGCGAGACCAAGGTTTGCACTAATCCATTTCACTTATTTTTACGGAACTGGTAATCTATAGCACTGGCATTACCAGATCTATCTTTGGCTTTATCGATGCATTTCCGTAGGTCTGTATGCAAGGCTGCCTATTGTATTTGTCCGCTTTTCCGGAGATATCCAGTGCAATGCTTCTCAACGCAAGTCGGCTGATCCTCTAGCACCGGCTGATTATCCTTCAACAGCCAACTTATTCAGAACAAGTGATCATTCCAGCTGGAATTTAAGAGCAAACATTGCTTCTGATGATTCCGCATATCGTTCCAAATGGAAAAACGCTCCTACATCTTGGATACATACCACATTAAAGGGGTCTCAACTAATGGCCTTAGCTTGCCTTGCAATCATTTCGATGTAATTTATATATGCCATTACGTAGATTCCTTATTGTAACATATATGAGAGAAATATTTCCATGATTACTTTTTAATGCCTTTGGCAGGTTTGCTGCGTCCCTAGGCGTTTGAACGATTGCGTTCAGCGCTTTTCATCTTTGCAAGAACATTTAGTTATCTCATTTACCTGGAGCGCTTTTGAAGGCACAAAATTTAGTTCTCAATAAGAGAGGAAGACAAATTCTTTGACTACATCTTCTATGTGGAGCAACTCTGATATCTTGGTATTGACGTTTGCCTCAAGATCATCCTCACACACGCGTCACCTGCGTGCTACATTTTCATTTGGATCATTTTCCTCTATCCTCTCTCCATCTTCTCCAAACGTTGTCAATGTACGCTCATTCGAACCGGATTTATTAGCTCTACACACTGATCCATCATACGTAGAAATGTCTTCTCCGATTAGAGGCTGTGCCGTCACTAACCGTTTTCACTGGCATCTGTGATTAAGCGCAAGCGTTTATTTCAATCGTATCGAGCCGATTGCCTTTCTGTGTGACACCATTCGATACAGAATTCTCGTGGCAGGCCAAAAAGCCTAAGCTTATTCCGATCCAGTGTTTCTCCACACAGCTTTGAAAGAATCTGTGTTCAGCGCTCTGTTCAGGTTAAAGTCACTCGCCATTCCTTGTGACCTTGTAAGCCAGTGCGG